GGCTACCACCAGGTTGTAGATTTGCCCAAGGGCCATCACACTGGACAGAGAGGAAGGAACTGTAAAAGCTGTTGAGAACATAACACCAGCCTTATAATCATAGGCAACATTTACCATTTACTGAGAGTGTGGTGGGATTAGGCTCTCTCTGGGCACTGTTTTGGGTATGATCTCATTTAATCCTTTTGTGAATGTGCATTATTGTTGTTCCCTTTTTGTAGATGAGAAACCGAGGCACCAATAGCAGATGTAACTTGCCCAGGGTCACATAGTTCAGGTTTTAGAAATCTTAAAATCACAGCTCTTCAACAGTCTGGCACTCTCAGTCTCTCTTATTGACTTGGAACCAGTTGGATTTGGGGAGTTGGAGGAAAGCATCTTAAATTTGGGGTTCTGCTACTCATGAAACCAAGTCAAGTGAAAGAACAGGTTTGGTTCAAGGCAAGATGATGTGTTCCATTTTGACACAATGTTGCATTCCTATTCAGAGGATGACTTCAGTGGTCAGTGATTAATATCCAGTATGGGTACACACTGAATGCAGATTATTGCTATTGTCATTGAGTCTTTTTTCAAAGCAACTTGTTCAGCTTTGAATAACATCATTAAACACTGATGAATATTTGAAAATGTATATGAATTTTTACAAGTGTTTTGAATCTCGCCATTTTCACAGTCAATATTTTAAATAGAGAAGTTTAAACTAACAAGTGCTTGTTTTTACACTGAAGCTATAGACTGAACTCTGATTCATAAATTCACAATTGTTCTTCTCTTATTAAATCTTTGATTTATCTCTGAGTCCATGTTGCCTGGCACAGTCCATGGTATACACTAGACATGTAATAAATGTGCCTTGGACTATATGATCAAAGTGTTCAGCCTTTACTTTAAATGTCAGTTTGAATTATAGAGTTCTGGAATCAAAATTCTTTTGGAGATTTTCTTGTCTGACAGTGATATTTGGGGATAGGTATAAAGCAAATTTCTGATATTTGTATTCTCCTTGAAGTGTGGGACAAGTGGGGAAATAGGTTGTGGGCTTTTTTTCCTTTTCTTTTCTTGAGAGAGAGCTATGAGTTTTCATATTTTCCTGGAACCAAAGGCTATTGAAATGGGAACAAGCTTTATAAATAAGTAAAATATAATGTAAAATTTAGACCAGAGACACCAAAATGAAAGGCAAGTTCCATGGCTGCAGAGTTTGCAGTTATTTGGTTGAATTTCAAAATCAGATTATTTATTCAAGGAAGAAGGAGTCCTGCTAGGGATGTCTAGTCTTAAACTGAGTGCTGACTAGAATTATAATTAGAATAATGTTTGTACTCACTGTATTTGAGAAGCCACCCGTTTGAACCTCTGCCTTCTTCCCTCTCCCCACTTTGAGTCATGACCTCATGACTGTGTTGGAGGCTTACTTCTTACTGGTAATAGGTGAGGCTCTTCCCCGAACCTTCCCTGCACTTGAAGCTTGGATCTAAACTAAGGCCCTCAAAATAAGTGGGAAAACATAAAGAAAGCACAATTCTTTGATTAGGTATTATTTTTCTGGCTAGACTGAGGCTCACATCATGAATTATCATGTTGTTCCCATCAACATACAATTAGTAAAGCCATGCTTTGTTTTAAATATAAAGTTAAATGGTCCAGCATGTGGTCTGATCTATGTGAGTTTTGTGGACCAGAGTGGGGAACTGACACCTTGCTCTGGTTCTGGCACAGTTTCTGAACAAATTGTGTATCTCTCTGAAGGATTCACCTCATTTCTAAAATACAGGGATTAGCTAATTAGATGATCCTTTGCTTCAAAAAGGGAAAAAATATGTATTAATATAATTGAATAATTGAATTATTCAATTATATTATATTAATATAATTGAATATAATTGAATAATAGGGTACAATTCAATGAATGGAGCTGACATTTTCATCCCAAGAATACCAAAACTTCTGGAGCCCTTCCTGGGGTAAACAATGCCTTCACCAATGCCTGGCTTGGGAGTACTCCCCAATGGCATGCACCCCAACATACGAAAGTGACCAGATCTCTTCCTCCCCTTCCCTACTCCAGCCTGTTGCTTAGAACAGTCACCAGATGGATCCAAAGATGTTGGAGATGTTCCCCTGTGTCACCTCCTCCCTAGCACATCTTTGCTTTCTTCAGAGGACTGCTCTCCTTTCCTTCTATCACTTCTGATTCAGTTGATTTCATCTTAAGTCTTTCATGAATACATATTTATGTATTTATTTTTCCAGAAATTCTTTTTTGCTTTTGCCCCTTATTACCTTAAAAAAAAATCTCAAAACATTTTTCTATTTCACTTGCAAAGGACAAAGTTCCAGTATTGTCTAAGAAACATGAATAAAAATAATGATGCCCTTCATGAAGGAAAAGAAAACCTGGAGCTTTTAAGGTTACATTAAACATTGTAAGAACCAGCAACACCCGCCTCTAGATTCCTATAAAGTGACTATCGGTTCCATTCAGAATTTCCTCAAGTTCATGTTTTTCAACATTTAAACCTATTCATTTGTTATCACGAGCAGTCAAAATATACACCAAATTTATAATACTGAATTTTTCTGTTTTCAGGTACAAGCACAGTAAAAGTGCTGTGTACTATATATACTGCATGTTATGTACCTATCAGTGAAGATAGCAGAGAGGAGGAGAAAATAACTATTGGAGGAAGATGGGGAGCAGGGATGACTGAACTGCATTTTGTCCTTTGAATAGAATGTTCTCAGTGGCTGAGCCACAGACAGGCATTCCAAACACAAGGTAAGGCAAAGCAGCCCTTGGTGTCCAGTGAGTTGCTTAATAATGTCAAAATGTAAACTGTCTGAGGGTTCTCAGGCAAGGTAAGATTTAGGAGGGGAGGAGAGTAGGGAGAGGGAGATAAACAGCTAGCTAGCTAGATCGATCTTCATGTGCTCTGTTTTTTTTTTTTTGAGGTGCCTTTTATCATAAACCCCCATATATAACCGAAAACAGTTTAAACCATCACTTTGTAAGAATAGAAAAATGCTGTATTTTTTGAAATGTTTTACAAGTATTCTGGAGGTCCCCACTGTCATTCATGTTCCATGGCGAAAGTGATACAGTTAAAGAGCACCTGATGCTGGAAGGAAACACAGCATCGGGGACGTGGTGAACAAGGAGGAAGTGGCAGACAACGTGGGAAAGGAAGCAGCTCATCTCTGGTTGGCCTGTGCTGATGGACCAGGAGGCTTTATGCTCATGCTAGAAGTGAGAGCCCTTCTGTCCCTGAGCACGGGAAGTCAGGGGAGGAAGGAGAGGAGGCAAATGGACATCCCATGGGGAGGCACTGAAACAGAGCCTGCCACCTCAAAGGCAGGGTGACCAGGGTGGCAGATGGGTGCAGTTTTCTCTCCAAATGGCTATGTGAAACCTCTATGGCAAGAGAGGCAGTGGTGGGGAGGTGTGGAGGCTATCAACTAGTGCTTCTTCTCAACGTGCAGAAAAGTGCAAAGCTTTAGCTCCTAAAAAACTGCAAGAGCTCTGTTCTCTTCTTGTGACATTGCTTGTTCAGGAGCTAGATGCCCGCTAATATGCAATATAAATAATGATAAACACTCACCCCACAGACATACTAACATTTGTCAAGCTAGGTAGTTTTATCATTTAGTGTAATGAAACAAACCAAGGGTGGTAACAGTTGTAGTGTCATAGCTAATTTTCTGCCCAGGTGGTTTTCCCCATTTTTCTTGCCCTATTCACATGAAATATGCAATGATTTTTGCATTACCTCATTCCTTCTGACCGAGACCCATTTCTGTGGGCTCCCATCTTCCGGAGGCCACATCAACCTCAGGCTGACTGCTCTCTGTCTCTTTTGTAAATACTCAAATACTCATTGTTTACTAGAGGCACTCATTGCTCATGGCTTTTCTGCCTTCTTAACACTGTTATAGATTTTTAAAACTTAACTTTTAAAAAAGTTTTCTGCCATAAGTTGCTAAAACAAAACTAGGTAAGCTTTTATTTTCTAGTCTCTTTCTGTGAGAAAGAGGGAAGTTCATTTTCGGTTTATCTTTTCCATCTACCCCATCTCACAGCAAATGGCATGCCAGGTCCCACTGCACAGGGCCAGCCAAGACTTACGATGCATGAACATACACTCATTCTTTCTTCTCAAGCGAACTCACCACTTGCCATACATTTATCAACTTGTCCCCAGAGGAAGAGAACACCCAGCAGTCAGTTATGCATTTGCAGCTTACAGAGTTTCTGGGGTCCTCTCTAGGGGTCCCAGGCACCTTTGGGCTCTTTGTCCATTATTAGAAACACAGCAAAGTTCCCCACAATTGTCCCCAACATAGCACATTCTTGTGACATGACAGAGCTTTGTGAATCACCATTTCCACATTTGTAAGTGAGCTGAGTTTCCCTCATATCAATGGGGATGTTTGTATAATTGTCACTTGTCAAAGGGGAAACTGAGGCAAGAAAGCTTACCAATTTGCCCAAGACACAAGAAGCATGAAGGCCAAACAAACTCATTTCTGGGAACATTATCCATGTTGCAGTTGCATAGCTTAAAATTGGGAATACATTTTATTTTATATGAGGAGTTAGAAAAAGCAACCCAAAGAGGGTAGTTTTTTGTAGACATCTCTAACTTGTCAACCAGAAATGCTAGAGTCGGGATGGACATGAAAGAGCATCCAATCCCACCCTCTCCTGGTGGGGACAGCACTCAGGACATTTGATTTATTTAACACAGGACAAGCCTACTGCACGCTGAGCTTAGAAACCAAATTTCTTAATTTCTAATGTTCTCCCTGCTAGATCACCCTTAATTTTAGGATGTACTTTTATAACAGAGCAAACATTCCTAAGTCACAGCCCTAGGACCCTATTTGCACAGCTTGTCTTCCTTTTCCCATTTTTATGGCTTGGGCTCTGCAAGTCAGGGACTAAGAGTGGTCATCAGACGTGCCCCCCCCTTACCTTCAGCACCCCACCGTCAATTTACCTGGAAAGCTGTGGAAAACATCTTCGTTTTCCAGAATGCCTCTCTGTTTGGTTGCCTGCAGTTCACTTTTGGATTTCCAAACCAGCTTTACCATCCTGATCATCTCTGGAAAGTCCCAGGGCAGCGGCCCCTGCTGGCACCCCAGCCGGCTGCCGAGGGAGGAGGGCAGCGCACCTTCTGGGGCCGTCCACCTCCTGCCTAGCTCTGCCGAGTGGAAATACCTCTCTAGCACAGGCATTCTGCCCTGCTCCCCAGAAAAGGAGGTAGGGCTGCTGCTGCTGCTGTTGCCGCTGCCACCAGAAGGGAAATTCTTCCTGGGCAGGGGTAGGCGATCCCCCGTGAAATCCTCTCCAGCCTTGGAAAGATAAGCTTCCTGCAGCCTGCCACAGTCTCCTGGCTCTCCAGTTCCTGCACACACACTGCGACCACGACAGCGATGCACTTCCCAAGCTTTCTCGCTGGTGAGGAACTGTTACCGTACTCCTTCCTTACAGAGAGGGAGCATTTTTTTCTCCTTCTCTCTCAGGCACTGAGTTCACAGCACTTAATTAATCCCAGGCTACAGCTAGAACGACAGCAGGGGGGCGAAAAAAAGCCATGGAGGTTTCAGCATTTGCTTTTCGTCTTCTTCCTCCTGATTTGTTTTCCAACTCGCTTTTGGTGCTTGTCGAAGTTGGTCAAGTGGCTTAGCTCTGAAGGGCATCAGGCAAAGAAGTGGGGCTCCATCTCTGCCACACTCTAGAAGGGGTTCCCCAGAGGCCAGTTATTTGGATGTCAGGTGAGGACTCACCCTCCTCCCCTTGGTGCAGGAAGCCTAGAAGCTTCCCAGGCTCTGGTTCTGCAAGCCCCAAGGAGCTCTCAGCAAACAAAACAACACAACACAACAACAACAAAACAAATCGGGACGCTGACCATTCAGCAGTAGTTTCTCTCTGGAATGCCTGGTGGGGGCCACCTTGTCCAGTCAGTGTGCCCCCACAAGGATGAGGTTGGCTTGATCCTGAGGACCACAATTCAAACACTCTCCCTTCCTTTTCCACACCCCTCCCTTTTTGCTGTCATTTGGTTCTCAGCAAACTAACCAGGTTTTGGCCTATTAGTCAAATCCCTTTGTAACCTCAGCTGCCCTTCAGCTGGAAGGGAAATAACACTGAATCACATTCCAAAGCTAACTTGAAAGAAGTGGATCAGGGAAGCATCAAGGTCCCCATGCACATGTGCAGTGGGTTTGTGTGGTCCAGACACTTGGCTGAGGAAGGTTACAAACCCAGTTTCAAAGAAAAGTAATCATTTTAAAGCAGAGTCTAAATGTCAGTGTAAAGAGTGTGTGGAAGATGACACACACACACACAAACACACACACACACACTGAGAGATATGGGGCTTAATATCTGGGCCACCGACTACTGTGTCCCCACCTGAGAGTGATAGATGAATTGAGGACAACTGTAGGCCAGGCTCTTGTTTCCTGAGGCTCTGAGATGAAGGCGCTAACCCTGGAAGTCAGAACCAACACAGCCACGAGAGATGCCCCCCGTCGCTTGTGTGAAAGGCCCTGGACATAAACGAAAGTGGGGTGGTATTATGTTTGGCACTTTTGCCAGCAAATTGGGTTTGTAGGAACAATTTGAACTTGCACTTTCACGTGGCTAGCCTGTTTCCTTGGAGGACATTGCTGCAATCCCGTCTTCCTCTGCTCTTCACATCCCGCCTTGCAAAGGGCTTTGTTTTGCTTGGCACTTGATTTTGCTGATGTACAATCTGTTACTCCACATTCCTTTCAGGGCTGATTGATCACACAATCATTTGATGTTTCTTTAGGGGAGCATGGAGGAGATTTGGGGGAGAGGAGAAAGACCTGTAGAGTGTCTGATTTCCATTGCTCCCACTTTTTTTTTTTTTTTTTTAAAGTTGAAAGCAGCAAAGCCTTCTATATTATTCTTCTTCTAAACCCATGGTTAATAAGTTTGGTTTTCCACACTGAATTAAGTGAGTTTCCTTTTTTTTTTTTTTCAGGATAGAAAAGTGTAATGGCAAGCCTATTTTCTTTCCTAACAGGTGAAAAAGGACCAACACCCTTTGAGGGTATAAAATAACAATGAAAAACATGGAAGACACTCCTTTTTGTAAACTTTATTAGTACAATATTGAGCTCTTCCTATAACAACCCAATGTATCCACTTTATCAGAAAGATGTGCCTTTCTTTATTTCCCTCTTTGTGAGACATGAAAAGATTTATGCTTCAATTTGATGCATCCCCCTCACTGTTTGACAGTCTCCAGTCCTTATCTTACCTTTCCATCAGACTGGAGCATCAGGGCTGTCTAGAATTGAGACGATTTTATTTAATAAGTGCATGTAGGCTGCTGTACTCTATTACCATGTTTCCTGAATAATGTCTTAAACTCACTCCTCAGTCACAAACTTCCTTGACATAACAACTAAAGAGTTTCCTAAGTGTTTGACTATTTTTATTTTTGTTCAGTTATTTTGCAATAGTACTTAGCATCAGGATATCCTGACCCTTGGAACAAAGGGGTTAAGAACAAAGAAAATAACTATATGATATAATATATCACAACCATGAGTGTATTAAGAATACAACTCTTCAGTGCACACAAGAGTGATTTTTTTTCAAACCAGGGATATAAATTTCAACTGTATCCTCCATACTACTTCACAAATTTCCTTGTAAAAATATTCCAGAGAAGTTACAAAATGTTAGATCACTGAGCACGAATACTTCCTATGGGAGATCGTTTGGGCCAAGCAAACACCATTTCAAATTTCCATTCCTAAGGAAGAACCTACTTCATTTGAAGGTTTGAGAGTTGAAAATGTTGGCACGATTTAAAATTTTTTCCCCAATATGGGATTATCTTCATCCCAGAGTAGAAGTGCAAAAATACCACAAGAAAGGTTGTTCTCATGGTATTTCTGGCTCACGTAGAAACAGGAAGTACAGGAAATCTTGTGAGAAAGCTTGGCCCAGGAGATTTTTGGCTCAGCTGCAGGCCCAGGAGACTGAGATGGACTGGTGGGATGCGAACACTTACTGGACTGAAAATCTCTCTACCACACGATTTCTCTGAAGGGCAATTCAGTTATATTTTGAGCTAGCAACTCATAGCCTGTGATCTCTTTGATCTTTCTGTTAGCTACCTTAGAAGAGCAAAGCTCTGATTTTTTCTTTACTCAGGGAACATCGTTCACTTTGCCATATTACCTCCAGCCAGAAGTGTAGACCACTGGGCCTGAGTTAAAAGGGGGTGGAGTAGGATGTTCTGTGCTCAGAGGAGTCATGGAGCAAAGTCTCAACTGTCTGACTTGTAGAAATGCTTACAAATGGTAATATCAGTAATTAATGTATTACAGACAGGAAATTTTAAGACAGACTTTCAAAATAAGCAAGTGCTTTTTTCAGGCACTGTGAGTCAATCTAATATTCCATTAAGAAAAAAATAGAATTCTCTTCTTGTGTGAAAGAAATGTAATGAGAGCTCCCAAAGTCAAAACAGCTTGTTCCAATGGAAACCTAATTCTATCAAAAAGGCTTTGTTGTGTGGCTGTATCCATAGAAGAAAGGAATTGATAACTCCAATATTAAAGTATATGGTGAAGAAAAGAGTGCCACCAAAGCATAGTGGCTCTTAATGATTTTGAAGAACTTTTAGTATTCTGAGGACCATGTAAAAATCCTGTGGACTATGGGTACTCTACTCACTAGGCAGGTGTCTTTATTATATAGGTTTTTAAATATTAATAATGTTAAATATATCTTTTTAAATGTTTTTATTAGTATATGATTATTACACAGGGAGTTTTGCTGGGACATTTCCAATATTGTATCCCAGTTTGGTTCATTCCCTCCATCAGTCTCCCTCTTCTTCCACTCTGCTTCTTGAAATGACTTTGACAGGTTTCGATATTCCATATTCATACATGTAGAGAAAGCACCTCAGCCATATTCACCCTCCTTTACCCTTTTCATTGACCCTTGCCCTTCTGTGAGTACCTTTCCTTTAATGTGACCTAATCTACATTCCTGCCCTTCATTGTTTTAGTGTCTGCTCATTGTTCAATATGGTTTTGACTTGGTATTTCACCTGTAAATATATTGTACTTTAATCACTCATACCCTCTGTATTATTCTTCCTTTAAAATATTTCTGATCATCTAGAGAATGTATCTTTAAAATGCAAACTTAGAAATCTGTATTCATTGTTGTTTTCTTTTGAGTCTATCAGTCTCACAGAACTTCATCTTAATGAAAATCTCACTCAGATTGTTTTGGAAGTACTTTTATACACTTATTTACTCTCATCTCTCTTCTACCTTTTAGAAAAAAAATTCAGAGTATCAAGGAAACTTATTTATTTTGTCCTGAACTTTTCTCTCCATCAATTCAATTCAAATGTGACTGTGTAAACAGACACACATGCACACACACACGTATGCACGCACACACACTTGTGACCACCCTGGTTTCACAAATGCATTTCAATGCAATACAAAATGAGCTGGGAAAGAAAAACAGGTCTTTTAACTTTGTTTAATGTAGTCTAAGTAGGAGAAGCTCAAACAATTTACAGTGTCCTTCAGGAGAAATAGAAATGTAATAGCTTTGGCCTTAGCTAATTTCAAGGAACAATGCCAGCAAGTAGAGAGAAGGACTTGGTCTACAGAGCAACCATACAAGGCAGCACATATTTCTATTGTCCCACGGAAAAGGGAGAGAGAGAGTGGGGCAAGAAGAGGAAAGATAAGGTGGCAGGAAGTAGAAGGGGCTAAACTGACAGAGTCACAATTTGATTTCACAACAGGTATCTAAACTATACCCAATCATTCTTTTATTCACTCTGCAAACATGTATTAACTGCACCAAGAGAACGACAGCAGAAGCCAGAAACTCGGCTGGCCTGTGAGTCCTTTTTAAGTTCCCAGGAAGCACTGGACTCCACTGCCAAGGTCCTGGTTTTCTGTGAGCTATTTCTTCTTCCATTATTATTATTGTTATTATTATTACTATTATTATTATTGTTAATTTATCTAAAAGGAGAAACTGGGATTCCATCAAGCATCAGATCTCTATCCTGGCTTTTAGCTGTTTTAATGAATGCTAAGTTTCCTGCCTCTGAGACTTTTCTAACAGCTAGTGAATCCAAAATGGCAAGAGTTGAGATCCAAAAGGCAGGAAGAGCAGCTTTTCTCCCCTGGCTCTTCCCTACTGGTGAACATGGCTCCGTGTTCTCTTCCATTACTGAACATCTGATGCTGGGAGTGTGACCCTGACCTCCTCTGACTAGCCATTTTAGGATTTTCTGATTGTGAGAGATCATAAGTGATGGTAGAGGAGACCTTTTATAATTTTATCTTTGAGTGTATCTACTTTTTCAAACACAGCTACCACAACGAAATCTCTAAAGTAACCCTTCAAGACTATTTACCTTAGATTTACAAAAACCAGGCATCAGTCTGTACTCACTACTAAGTTTTGCATCAGACTTAGTGCCTTATCTATAAATAATAGGCACTTTATTAATCACACTAGGATCTCATAAGCATGAAAGATCAAAATGTGAGCTATTTAAAAACCATATTGTATTATAAAACTTATACATTTCAGGATCTATTAGAGAGACGAAAAGCCAAATCCAACCACACGTGAAGTAGGTCCCTTTGGAAATTCATGTTCCCCACCAAAGCGGAGGAACCTGAAGGCAGGGTAGTGAATAGAGGTTAGTGGGGAGTGTCCCATCAGGGAGGCAGTAAGAGATTTTAATGGTGGAAAGGCAGGCAAGGTAAGGTAAACAAAATCATTGATGTGTGAATGAGCACAGAGAGATAAAGGACAATGTGTGTTAGTAGAAGTAGCTATATGATAAGATAAATATTCTTTGTAAGTGCATTTTGGAGGTGAAACAGCCCAGGATCATGTCCAGAGTTAAGCCTTCATGGTCTGTACCATGGGTTACATGGTGCTGTAGTTAATACTGTACATGTTCTCTTGAAGGGAATTGCATTTCCATCCACAATGACTGACGGTTGTGTTCAATGTTCCTGAGCTGGGCAGCTTTGTGTCATGTGCTCTGGTAGTAAATGTGTTGTCCTCAGGTCATTCACTGACCTCATTTCCCTAGACAAACTTAAGAGAACCTCACAGTTTTTGCCTGGGGGCTTTATATTTCAAACATTTTTAGAATTTCGATTGCTCTTAACTGATCTTCGTTTAATTCATAGATGGTTTTGTTTGTGTTTTTAAGTCAGGGTCTTGCTATGCAGTGCAGGCTGTCCTAGAAGTTGCTTTGTCCAGGTTGGCCCCAAACTCATGATCCTCCTGCCTCTGCTTACTGAGTTGCTGGGATTACAGGCATGCACCACCATGCCCACTATAAGTGTTTTTAAAGTAAATGTAGTGTGTAAAACCAAATATAATACTTAGAAAGGGGCCTAAGCAAAGTGTAAAATACATTTCTACTTTTCTATTTTTTGTACAAGTGAGAGGCATGACTTCTGAAAGTTCTCAAGCATTAGGCTGGGCTCAGAAACCAGAAGGTGAGTGGAGGGGAGCTGATCCTCAATGAATCACTGGAAAATGCCAGGGTGAGGCACTTTCCTCACAAATAAGATATAGAGAGACAACTGATGTGAAACAACACAACAGAGGAAAAGGAAACAGTAAGGAATAAAGCCTTCTTGGGATGGGTTGTGGCTCAAGTGGTAGAGCACCTGGCTTGCAAGTACAAGGTCTCGAGTTCACCTTCTAACAGGACCAGCCTTTGCCTTTGCTATTCATCTTACTACCTCCTGGTAGTTATGAACCAAAAGCTACCTCTGGA